CTTCTCGCCTTCATCATCATTCCTCACTTTCACTACACAATTTTCTGAGATACCCTTGTCCGAATCATATAAGGCAATAGAGCTGACGAGTCCCATTAGGCACTTCTTAATCACTTCACGCGGTATTTGCTGCAAAACATTTACTTAAATTATATGACATTCAACCTTGAAAAAATTAAATATACTGCGGCAACGATTAACTTCTATTACTTACCAATACATTCCTCCTCATAACCTTAGCATTGCATACAACCCTGCTCCATGTTTCTTCGTTTTCTTCAACATACATTGGCGTAAATTTCCTGATTCAAGCACCAAACCAGATATATGCATACTATTGTTAATGTATTTCTTCAATATAACTTATCCAATACATTTTAGCCATCCTAAACATGCTTTAAAACTACATCATATACTACATTATTAACGGATTTTCAATACTGTTAAACTTTTCCAACATAACTACATCATAGAAAATACACAACAATATAGCATGTATCCATTTTATTCATATTATCTATAATTCTGATAAAACAGAACATGCCACATAAGACTTAGTGATATGTACATACTAAACTTCCAACCAAAAACCTACGTAAATCATGCTTTTATAACCTTATTACCGCACTGTACGTCAATAATATATACATAACATTTCCAACATTATTATCGTGACAACAATAATGTATACATAAACTTACCCCGACTTTGTTGTCCATTTGATGCCTACTGAACTGTTAATAATTCCTTTCGCTTTAACATTACATTTGCTTCCTCCGACTTTACGTTCATCAGAACCTTTCCCTTTTGAAGGAGAATCAAATGTATTCCAGACAGAGAATAATATTCCATAAAACCAACAATATCCATCTTTATATTGGTTTGTTGGAGAAATTTACGCGAAGATTCAACATATTTGTTATACTTTTTTTCAATCTTTTGCCGTTCAATCGATGATAAATTCTCCGAAGCAGATCTGCAACAACTTTCATCATGCATGTATATTACTCACAACCTATATAACTTCTAACCAAAATAGTATCGATTTCATCGACAAAATTAACAATACTTGAAGATAGATAGCTATTGACTTACCCACGTGCATGTCGTTTGACCCCACGATTCTTCATCTTCAACCGAAAGCTGAACCGAGCTTTTCTTTCTACTGCTTCTCTGTGTTATGGTAAGCTGCAATTTGTAATTTTAACACAAGCGCTTTTCCTGTATATCTCAATGCAAACATATTTTAACCCTATTATCACCACAATGTCCCTTTTGTACTTACATTCCCTGTTTGACAGCGGCCCAATGTCCCATTTGACTCTCCATCTCTTTTTTGGCAATAAAATATTCCCTAATAGATACAAATTATTTCTTTCTATATTACATGTTTATATTATTATATTTTTTAAACAAAATAAAGATTACAATTGTCTTATTATTTTATACTTACAAAAAGATCAGTGGTCAAGATTTAAGCAATATTAAAACAAAAATTGAACCCACTTATACATATACTCACATTTCACCCTTTGTACACAAAACACAGTCGTCTTCAATCCTGACCCTCCCCACACAGTGCTCTATCTCCTCTTCGGATCCTCCAAACATGGCTTTCAGGGACTGCTCGAAGACCACAACAGCCTCAGACGAAAACACATCACGGTAAGTGCGAATGTTAGAACTATGATTATCGCCGATTGCATGTCATTTCAGTTGTTAAAATGCTAACTTGTCTGTATCTGCATGTGTGTTTAAGGATGGTTGTTTGTGGTCATTTATAATGTTGTTGGTGGTTAAAGGGTTAGAAACTCATGTATCCGATTTTTTACATTACAATGATGATGAAAAGGTTTTTGTACAATGATTATTTAGGGTTACCTTCCTTCGGATCAACCTGAAAACAAACACTTAGCATATACGAAACAGTTTATGATACTCATATAAGTAATATGCATTTACTGTTTTTTGTTGAAATACAGAATCCGGCCACTCACACACTATAACAGACTTTGTTGTTTCTGTTGAAATATTGCAGGAATGATATCCCTGTTGTTGAGAAGAGTTTAGAACAAAGTGGACTCAGATTGTTTCGGGTCCCATGACCATGCGCTGCAATGCCCTTGTAAGTAAAAAACTCATATGTATCTATACCTTTCAATTAGGAATATTGGTAACAAAACTATACAAACTCAGTTTTATTCATCCATCTATATTTGTTCATTAACAGAAAATACCCAGAGACATAATCTGAAATTGTTTCCGGGGAGGAGACATACCGATCAAGCTGTTAGATTGCGACAAAGGAGTCTCGTACTATTGCCTTCTGAAAAAGCGGAAATGGAGCGTGGAAAGGTACCTCTTAGGTGACTGGTATGACTATGCCAAAGAAGCCAATCTGAAGGTTGGTGATACATTACACTTCGGCATCTGCTATCCACCGGTGGATGAGATATTTGTATCGGTGGAACGAGGAAATGCAACTGAGGGTTGGCGGTCGTGGTAGGATAATGTTAAGATTTTTTATTTAAATAGAAAGGACATATGTTTATGTCAAGACTTATGGTATTTTGTTTTCTTATGAGTGTCTTTAGCAACGTTACAATGATTTCAAGTTGCCCCACCAATGTTATTAGGTGAACAACTTATTTTGTGTAACATGAAACTTATGAATGTTTAATATTAATGTCTTATTAGATAATTAAGTATGTTTGTTTCATATACTTTTGTTATTATCATTATGTGACAATTTGATTATAACATCGTACAAGTGACAATTATAACTGTTGAACAATTGCGGAATACAATTGAAGCTATTCTCCCTTAATTCATGACCTCTTCTTCAAATTTATGTCGTTGTGACTGTGATGTTTTATAATACTCATGTTTGTTGGGTGTAATTGTTGATAGCGTAAGATTGAAATTTTGATGGCGTCATGAGCATGTGTTGGTTGCATTTGGGAAAATAAATCTACAACAAGATCACAACAATATCTTTACAACAACCTCAACTTTCATTTTATTGCATTGTTGTACAACTGCGGTAAAGTGTGGTAATACAATGTAAATAGTTCTGAGGTAATTCTAATTGAAGTAACATATGTTGTTGTGTGTTATCACATTATGCTATATTTTGGTATCTAAAATACAATTCTAACTCAGGTAGCATGTATTGTTGCAAACTTATAGTTAACATATAAGGCTTACGGCAGTTAAAAATTATATGTGTTTGTACATTAAACTTAAATGAAATAGTATCAATGATATAAATAAAAATTATATATTTTTGTTACTATTTCAATTTAACATTATTTCTTTAATTCAAAATATTCCATTTTATTGATTTATACTCATTGCACAAACTAATGATGCAAAATATAATTTTTATAAATTAATTTATTCTTTTATTTATATTATTTTTTATCATACATAATATCATAACATTTAATTATTTTTTCTTTCTAAATAAAATCCGCTCAATAAGAATGTCAGACCAATATCCATACGAACACACAAATATCATACTAATTTAATATATACCATGAAAAAATGCTACTAATATATGACAAGAGGTTAAACATTAAAACCGATATGCCACGGGTATCATACTAATTTAAGATATAACAAGTGCTACTAATATGTGAGAAGAGGTTAAACATTAAAACCGATATGCCATTAATAAGCATGTTTAGAGTTTATAGTATAAATAAAGAACAAACAAAAAATGGTGAGATTTGTAAGTATAAGTGACAGAGAAAATGCTCATTTGCCACTTCTATCTACTTGTGTATGTGCATGACAATTAAAAGTAAAATAGTGTTTAATGAACATAAAATAATTAATTAATTAGTTAATTAAAACATAATTAATTAAATCTAGGTTGAAAATTAAAGATAACATTGTTTAAATGTGAGAAAGAATTAACACGTTAAAAACAAAGTGACATACATACATACACCATCGGTTACGATTCTTCGCCGCCTCTTACCGGACCGGCGTAGTCTCACCGTTCATTCATCTCCTCTTCTCTCTTCTCCCTTCCCAATCGCGCTTCCATTTCGCAACTCGCTTCTTCGAAATCTCTCTCTACCATCTTCTCAGTATCCAAATCAACGGTAAATTTCAAGAAACACTCTTCTCTATGTTTTTTTTTTTGGGTATTTGATTTTCTCTGTTTTTGTTTCGGTTAGGGTTCTGATCATGCAATATGCTTCCTTGATTTCAATTCAAAATATACTTTTTTCTCTCTCTAAATTAACCGAATCAATTGATTTTGTAATATTAGGTTTGTGATATACCTTTTGTGTTATCTTGAGAAAATATGCTAGGGCTCAGAATTTGGCTGCTTTTAATGGGTTGTTGAGTGCTTTGTGTAAGTCTAGGAATGTGAGGAAGGCTCAGGAGATTTTTGATAGTATGAAGGGACGGTTTGAGCCGGATTCAAAGAGTTTTAGTATATTGCTTGAAGGGGGGTGGGGAAAAGAACCGAGTCTTTCGAAAGCGAGAGAGGTTTTCGGTGAGATGGTTTGTGCGGGGTGTAATCCTGATATTGTTATTTATGGTATAATGGTTGATATTCTTTGTAAGGCTGAAAGGTTTGCAACTTCATGTTCATATTGAAGTAAATGTTATTTAAATAGTGATAGGTGCTATAAATTTAATCTTAATCATGTCTATACAAAAGGTTTTTCTGTTACAAGAGGTCATGCTTTTATTTAAGCAAGATATGAAGCTATAACACATTCCTAAAATTAATGTTTGTGATTGAAGTTTTATGGTCCCGTTGCTGCTGAATTGCTTGTTTTTTATGGTTAATGTTGTGATACGTATTATCAGTTTAATTGAGCGGCTCAGTTGCTTTTGACGATATGTGAAATCTCAGATTTATTTTACAAAGTTCCCATCACGTTGGTTTATATTTCTTCTGAAATTATGTGACTTAGTCGTGCTTTGATGACGTGCAGGAGTGAAGCTTGTGGTGCCGAATTTATTCAATAAAGATGAACACTATCCAAGTTGCCGCAAGCAATCCTGGGTTTTGTATCGGAAAAAAGTATCAGCCACACCATTTTCTTTCTACACCACATGGATTGTCAATGAATGCCAACCCTCTCTCTAGGACCTTCCTGATCCCAAGAGCTAAATCTTCATCTGGCTTACAATGTTTGCCTGTTTTAAAATCTCGGAAACCGCTCCATGTTTGTTTAGCTGGTGGGAAAGGGATGATGGACAATAGTGAGGTATGATGCACTTTCATTTGAGTTATACTATACATATTGCCTTCATCATTTGCTATATCATAGATGCTAAATTTTCCTTTAGATTCCCTTTGAGAAAACATGTTAAATTTATTCCTAGCCGACTCTGCGCTGGCTCATGTAGAAATAGCTTAGATGCTACTAAACTGTATATATAGTTCCATAATTTTGGTTTTAATTTTTCTTCATTTTATGAACTTTGATAATTAGGATTCCCAACGGAAATCTCTTGAGGAAGCTATGAAAGACCTACAAGAAAAAATCCAAAAGGGAGAATACAGTGGAGGAAGTGGGTCCAAGCCACCAGGTGGACGAAGTGGTGGTGGCGGCGGTGGTGGCATTGATGGATCAGATGATGGAATGTCAGATGAGACCCTTCAAGTTGTTTTTGCAACAATTGGCTTTATATTTGTGGTACACTCTTACTCTCTCCCTCCCTCTCTGCGAATTAGAATAATGTTGATAATGATGCATGTGCGGCCATGTCCGATATGATAACATCTTACATCTTTTTCAGTATGTTTATGTCATCAACGGCGTGGAACTTACAAAGCTAACTAGGGACTTCATCAAGTATCTGCTTGGAGGAACTCAGAGTGTTCGATTAAAGCGAGCATCATACAAATGGGTACGACTTTATAAGAAGATTACGGGGCAAAAGGAAGTTGATGAGAATGGGTTGGAAAATGCTCCAACCCGATGGAACATCGCCGATTTCTACCGTGATGTCGTTAGGAATTACATGAAACCAAATTCAAATGAGTAGAGATTAGGCGCAGTTGTGTAGATCCCCCACATTGCTGAACCTGATGAATATCTGTGGGTTTGCTTGATTTTGGGAAAAATTACTTTAGTTTAATCAAATTTTCTATTTTTCTTAGATGGTTACGAAAATGTCATTTCATTACAATTTTTTTAATACAAAGTTCTTTGAATATGGTTATGAAAATTTATTTTAATATATAACTTGATGTCAGAATAAGACGTGTGTTAATTTGAGGATCCTGCCATTCATTATCCTCTTATACTTTGTGTTGATTGCATTGTGATGTTTTGATCACAAGGGGCTGGTGAATGAGCAATTACCATGGATTTGGATCCTATGATCAAAAAGCAAGGAATAGATAAGCTATTTCAAAATGTTATGCTAATTTCTGATGTGAAAAAATGGCAATACTATGATGAAATGCGGGTAACAGTATTGCTATCCCGGAGTAACAACAGGAGCAATGCATAGAATTTGGAAATTATACAATGCTTATGTATTTTCAACACTCGGGTTTGCAGTAAAAAAGATGATTATTCATTATGATATTTGTGTCCATAAATATCTGATGTATCAAAAAAGGCAACCCCTGTATTGAAGACTTGCTTAATAATTGAACATCCGTCTTCGTGTGAGAGGGGAGCATCGTAAATTCCTAATAAACCTCCACATCCAAATCCCAACCTAGACACCTGCATTCCACAAAATGAAAATAAAATTACAGAGGAGCTTATCTTATCATGATTCATAAATCTTAAACCAAAAACTTGACCAGAAAGATTCAAATAGCAAAAAACCAAATTTGTAACTTGATTGTGAAAACAGAAACAACAAGGTATGAGACATTGTACAGTTCAACTAGCATCATACTCCAGGCCTAACTTGTCAGTGTAGAGTGATCCAAATAGGCAAAGGCATTCAACAAAACCCAAAATTGAATAGTAAAAGCTATCTATTCTGCCAAGTATCAGCAATTACATGATGGTGTTAACTGAGAATTTCTACCTTAAATGATGTATTCCGGAAGAAATTGTAATTCGAAAGGAAGCATGAAAAAGATCTTATGAAGATTTCGACATATGAAAAGCTAGTAAAGAATTTCATTTCGCTAAGTATTGGCAAAAGGTTTGTTTGCGAACCATTGAAATTTAATTTATTCGAAGTATCATCAGAATAAATACTTCGACCGTCATGTCTATATTGATTGGCGCTTCGAAGGTAAGAGGATTCTCAAATTTGAAAATTTGATCTTATCTAAAAAGACACATGGAGGCCTGAAGAGATTCGAAGACATACAGCAACAAACATGACGTTATTTCAGTAGTTGACCGTTAGGGTCGAAATAGTATAAATAAGAATCTTACCAATAAGATTCGTGAGAATGTACGTATGGTGCACTAATTTTATGTTTACTGCCGTTTATTTTCAATTGAAGTTTCATACATTCCTTTTAAGTTTAAGTCGAAAATCTTTTACATACCAGTCTTTTCTTTAAAGCATTACATTACTAGCTTCGAAATAACAATCAAAGTCAGTATTACTTAAAAGATCATGAATGATGTCGAAAGTATTCGTTGTTTTCAAGAACAAAAGTTTGAATAAGAACACATGTCTTTAGGATCAATCTGGTCGATCCTGCAAGTCACCAATCTTTTCTTCGATTTAGAAGACTAGCAGTTGTTTACCAAATTTTACGGTAAACAAATTGGCACGATCGGTGGGACCTGTGTTCAATTAATAGATGTTTTGTTCTAGTAAAAAGTTTTGAAATCTTCATCGTCCCTTTGGTTTTTTCTGCGTTGTATGAGACTTAGAAGTGGTAGCCATAAACAATAAGGAATACCTAAATGAAAGTACGTTAAAAAAATGGCGAACCAAAGCCAAACAGGTAATCAGAATTCTCCTAACAACGATGATGTACCACCCCCAGTCACTTCGATAGAGGGAACTACTGCTTCTACGCTTTTCAGAGGCTATACTGTCATCAACAAGTTCGACGTCAACGCAATCGAATGCTTATATTGACCCTATTTTAACCTATATAGGACCACAGGGTCCACAAGGAATCCCCCTCCAGAGGGAAATACTTTCCATAGGCCTAAGAGGCCGCCTGGTTTTTCCATGCCTCAAAATGACCGTGAGCGGCTTTATGGCATGTCATCTTCGTTTATGATGGGTTTACATAATTCCACTTCAATTTACTCAGATCCTGTGTTGAACGCTACTTTGCAATTACAAGGTTCTGGATCTGCTGTTAATAACAAGGGTCGAAATATCCAACCAAAAATCGAAGGAGTTTCCTTCCAAATGCCAAATTTAACAAATCAATCTGCAACAGTGATTAGACAGCAAATGGACGAGAGTAACCATGAAATGATCCAGATGCTTGCACAAACAATGGGTACAATCTTTAACCCTTTGATTCAAAACATCACTCAAGCGAACCAATAAATGGCTGCGCAAATGATGTGCATCGCTGAATTCTTTGGTGTGCCTCAACCCCAACACATCCTCAGAGGTAGTGGGTTAGATAAAATCAAGGGATAATCTTTGAAGAAGACCCAACAATTAACCAATTTCAACAGAATCAAAGAAATGCATCCCAAACGAATATGGTAAATCAGGGAGGCATAGTCGAAGTGCCTAAAGTTACGAATGTCGAAACACCTAAAGTCGAACCTTTTAGGCAGGAATCACAAATTCTAAGGCAACCAGAACCTAGGGTTATGATGGTAAATAGAAATCAAAATGTTGATGAAGTCTTATATCAAGTTCGACAAGACAACATGGCAGCAGACAACAATCTGGAAGCCATGGTCGAAAGAATTATGGCACGAAATGGTGTAAATATTGGATGGTACTAGGCCGAATTACACTTCTCCCTTATCTGAATATATTTTGCAAACTGAATATCCCAAGGGTTGGGAAGTCCCAAAGTTCACAAAATTCTATGGTGACACCAGCGAATCAATTGTCGAACATATAGAAAGGTACCTTACCGAGGCTGGGGACAATAGCGAATAATGAAAATTTAAGGATAAAATATTTTCCTAGTTCACTAACCAAAAATGCTTTCACATGGTTCATTACCCTTGCAGCAATTCTATCTAAGATTGGGCACATTTAGAAAGGATGTTTCATGAACAATTTTATGTAGGTCAATCGAAGATAAGCCTAAGTGAATTAGCTAGCATCAAGTGCAAGTTCAGCGAACCAATTGATGATTACTTCAACAGATTCCACCTGTTAAAGGCAAGATGTTTTTCCCAAGTGCCTGAACACGAATTAGTTAAGATGGATGCAAGAGGATTAAATTTCTCCATTAGGAAGAAGTTAGATCCTCACTACTTATTAGATATGGCCTAATTGGAAGATAGGGTTCGACAAGTGGAGCATTTAAAGGTCGAAAAAGCTAGGGCGGACAAAAGTCATAGAAAAGAAAGAGTTGCGTATGTCAAAACTGGTGTAGATGAACAAGAAGTCTGCAGTGGTGTTTCAGAATTCGAAGAGTGTGAAGTGGACTTGGCTGAATTAAAACAAGTCCTACCATATCCTTACAAAGTTCTAACCCTTTCGAATGGGAAGAATCTCGCAGAACCAGAGAAGAACGAAAAGTTTCCTAAGAAAACATACACTTTCGACGTAATAAAATGCGACGAAATATTTGATTTGTTGGTAAAGGATGGCCAAATGATAGTGCCACCTGGTGCAAAAATTCCCCCGTTAGACCAGCGGAAGAAAATATCTTTTTGTAAATATCATAACTTTTTGGGACATAAAACCTCATAATATTTTCTTTTCAGGGATTTGATTCAGAATGCTATGAAGGAAGGAGATTGAAGTTTGGCGAAAAGGGAAGAAGCCAAATGACGGTTGATGTTGACCATCTCCATGTAGCAGAAATAGGGGTGGAAATATGTTGGGTCGAGCTAGGATTTTCCAAGCCTGAGCTTGACCTGCTAAAAAATTCAAAGCCTAAGCCTGGCCTGTGGCCTATCAAAGGCTTGTTTTTAGGCCTGAGTCTGGAATTTTCGAAGGCCTGATTGACCTATTAGCCTACATAAAAGCCTACTTTATTTGAATATTTTCAAATAAGCAATTCAACTAATATTAAAATAGACTAACAAATTAAAAGATCAATTAGACAAAATTCTTATTTGCATTGACTTATTCAAGTTTACCTATTAAAACATGTTTTATGATACTGTTTGTTTGAGAGAACTTAGGAAAACAACTTATGACATTGTTCATAAGGTTTTTTTAGCTTATTTTCATAAGTCCTTATAGATAACTAAACTTTATTTTTGTATTTTAATTTAAAATACAAACATCATATAATAATAATAATAATAATATTCATATTTATTTAAATAGGCCGGCCTGATAGACTTAAAATACTTTTTTTGCGGCTTATGGCCTAGCTTTTTTAACTAAATAGGCTTGTAAAAAAGCCTAAGCCTTTTCTATTTAAAAAAAAAGAGTTTGGCTTGGCTTGGGCCTACGGAAGCTAGCCTGTATGCCTATGTTATTGGCCCAACCTATTTCCACCCCTAAGCAGAAACCAATTATGCCAAACCTGCGGATATCCACTTGCTGGAAGTTGCTGGTTTCGACATCAACCAACATCCTGAAGACAAGATCACTGAAGATTTTGTTGCAAACTTCGAAACAAAGGAGGCTACTGAAGGCCTTGCCAATACCATGAACAAGATTATTGAGGATTTCGTTGCAGGTATCGAAGGGCAAAAGACTGTTGAAGGTCTAAATAACCAGTATATCGAAGGCAAAATTACTGATGATACTGCCATAAATGTTGGAATGATAAAGGCCACTAAAGGCCTTAGAGTCAAGTTTGAAAAGGTCATGATTACTGAAAGTCATAGCCTTGAAGTTAACATGGTGGATCTGAACCAGACTGCTACTAAGATGGAGGAAGTCAAAAGGTGCCTCAGAATGGAATATGATCAGATGGGGAATGGTTATCCAAAGGCTAGAGAAAG